GAAACTTAAAAGGGGAAATCAGGCAGCTGACAGGCTTGGAAGCAGCAGCTGTAGCTGGAAGCTTCCATCCAAGCTCTAAATAAACACTTCATTATAACATTTAAAGCAGTGTTTCTCAACCTTGTCAACTTGAAGATGTCTGGATTTCAACTCCCAGAATTCCCCAGCCAGCATTCGCTGGCTGGGGAATTCTGGGAGTTGAAGTCCAGACATCTTCAAGTTGACAAGGTTGAGAAACACTGTACTAGCTGTAGCATCTCCCCTTCCTATTTAAATCCATCTTTAACGTCTAGATTCCCCTCCTGGCCCAACATATAAACCCCCCAAAATGCCTCAGGCCTGTAGGCCGAACCACGAGGTTGGTCCCCTGTTTTTTTGCCAAGGATGCTCCCCAAGATATCTCTGTGGCCTCCTCTGCTGTTGAGCTCAATGCAGAGCCTTCATTTTACTCGCTGTTCGCATCCCTAGCGCCGCCTAACGGAGGGAGCTCCCGTGACTTGTCCCAGCTTCTGCCAACTGAGCAGTTCGAAAGCACATTAAAAAAATGCAAGTAGAAAAATAGGAACCACCTTTGGAGGGAAGGGAAACAGCGTTCCGTGCGCCTTCGGGCGTTGAGTCATGCCGGCTACATGACCACGGAGATGTCTTCGGGCAGCGCTGGCTCTTCGGCTTCGAAACGGATTCGGGAACAACTAGCACATATATGCGAGGGAAACCTTCAGTCTGTCAGTTTGGGGCATTAAGTTTTGCTGGGTGCTTTTGACATCTATGGGTTCCAAGTAATAAGTAATTTTTTTCCAAGCAGGGAATTTGGAAAGGCGATAAGAGGCTGCCTAAAATACTGAGGATTACCGTGTTTCCCCCAAAATAAGAAAGGGCCTTATTTTCTTTTGACCCTCGAAATAAGCGCTTGGCCTTATTTTTGGGGAGGTCCTATTATTTTTGAGGTGTAGGAAGCGGTGAGCGTGGTCACCTCATGGCTGCTGCTGTGTTGCAATATTTTTGGGGAGGGCTTATTTTAGCGCATGCGCTCAAAAGCCTGATGGGCTTATTATCTGGGGAGGGCTAATTTTCGGGGAAACGGGGTAGATCCATTTCAAGCAAGGCAATTCGATTCCTCAAAGGATAGCTTTATTGGAAATATATTGGCACATACCTGGTGAAAACCAACTCTGAAGGTTCTGAAAGTTTTTCTCTCCATCCTGAACCATCAGTCCCATGGTCCAATCAATCCTGGCGCTGTCTGATGGTGACCGGTAACATCACTCCTCCTTCCTCTGGCCAGGTGTGAGAACGTCCTTGGTTCCCAAGAGAAAGTATTTCATTTGGACTACACAACCCCAGCTATCTCTAATCCCTTCCCGCCGCCTATTCCTTGGCGCCAGTGTGGCAACACTGAAGCGCCAAGATGGCTTCAGCCAGGCCACGTTCGTGGTTGATAGCCTCCACGTGCGGCTTACCGTTCTGCGTTGGCAGCTCTCTCCGCACCAGGAGGGAAGGGATGGTTGAACCTGCAGGCCGATAATCGGGTTGAAAGAGGACTAGGGTCGTTTAATCAAATTGTTCTGACTGAGGAAGCCAACTCCTGGTCCCGACAAAAACCCCTTTTATTAATTGACTGTGGATTCTGCTCTTTCACATCCAACAAAGTCTTTCGAGGGAGGATTTACAGTCACAGACCTTCTCCGGCTTGGAGAGCTGCCAGGCTGATCTCTGCAGAACTTGGCAAGGAGTCTCAGAGAGTCACGAACCAATGAAGCGAACTAATGGTCTCCTGCCAACTCCACCCTCCCTTCACT